AAAAAAAAAAAGTTCCTTACCTTAAAATAAAAGGATGTAACTTACCAGGGGGTTACTAGCGGTCTTTAGAACCATATCTGTCTGATAATTTTCATGGAGGCATCACTTTCACTTTAGCTGCTAGGGCCATTAACCTTCCCACATATGTTGCAAATGATTCATTGGGTAATTGACGGTCTACTTGTCAAGTAAAGCCTCCAACAATTCATTCTATAGGGCGAGTGGGCACGACATCGATGTTGTAGCAAAATTGCTTGATGAACTTGTCGGCCAACTCAGCGAATGTTGGCCACTTTCATAGCATAGCTGGTGTGTTACTGGTGTCCAAATCCTCTACAAAATCTGAATACCGTGATATATCTGCTACTTGTTCTGAGATTGTTTGGCTACTTGGTCTGCTAGTTGAGCTTGGCTTTTCTCATCTAAACCTCACTCCTCTTCATAAAGACAATATCAATGTCATTCAAATTGCAGCCAATCCTTTTTTCATAAGCATACAAAGTATATTGAAGTGGATTTTCATTCTATTCGGGAAGCTGTGGATACTCGAATCATCACTCTTTTGCATGCTTCTACTTATCTTCAGCTTGCTAACATCTTTACCTAAGCTATGACCCAACACCGCCATCAATTTTTGATTGGCAAATTGATGCTTATTGATCGACCAACATCAACTTGAGGGGGAATGTCGGTCAAATAAGGGCCGGCATTAATTAAGACCATATTAATTATAGGATTCTAATCATATGCTAATTATATAGTTGTATATATAGTTTTTGTATTTAGCTAGTTGGTTATGGGCCGTAATTATTTAAGGCCATATTCATTATAGGATTCTAATTGTATGCTCTAATTATATAGTTGTATATATAGTCTTAGCTAGGTTGGAGCTGGAAATCAGCCTTGTAATTAAGGATGTATTATGCTATTTGGTTCTATATAATGGAAGGAACTCTGTATTGAGAGGTATTCAGACAAAAACTCATTGTTTTTTTCATTTTCTACAAATGGAATTGCTTTACACTCAGTTGTCTTGTTACACTTAGCTCGAATATAATGGAAGGAACTCTGTATTGAGAGGCATTCAGACAAAACTCATTGTTTTTTTCATTTTCTAGAAATGGAATTGCTTTATACTCAGTTGTCTTGTTACACTTAGCTCGGATATACAAAAATCTAATTAAAATTCGAACAAGAGTAGTGAGACTAGATGAAAATGGGTTTGAAGAAAAGAACAAATAATGCATTTGGTGGAATGATTTTTCATTTATTGTAATAATTTTCTAGGCCATTTGGTAGAACTTCCAGTAAAATAGAACTGTTGAACAGCAACAATAATGTTTCTAGTGAAAACCAAGTTTAAGGCCCTATCTTGAATGGTTGAACAGGATGCAACAAATACATCTAGAAATACAGTACAAAAGGTAGAAATACTATTCTCATACAAGGATATTATAGGCATTAAGGTGGTTTAAGCTCACAGTTCCAATGGCTCAACATTTAGAAACATAATGTTTTTTGGCCACCTACAGCTCAAATTTTGATCTAGAACTCTAAATTATTATGCTCACAAGCTCACCAAGTTGTTGCCTACTGTCACCACTCATCTAAAGGTATAAATGTTTTAGTTTCATGCAACGAGAATGAGCCTCCATCCCTAAGTATAGGTACGAATGAATAACCAGCATGGTTAGCACAAAATGAAATTTTTTAAGGGTAATTGTTCCAATTCTGTCTCCTAAATATAATCTCAACCGAGTCCATGCATTTAAAATGCTTAGTGATGAGCACAGCAAAATAACGCAACCAAGCAAATAGCAATTTCAGGCTCTTCAGCTGCTCATGCATTATTCATTGTCTATATCAGTTTCAACAGCATCCACTTAGCACAAAATCCGTCAATAAAGAATCTTGTTAACAGATACAAAACTCACAACATTAACCACCCAAGACTGACATCTGTTGTGCTAACAATCTTTGCTAATATGACCAAAGATTTTCTAGTTTCCACACTAATGGAGCTTCAATATATTTTCAACATGGTCATGAACAAAATTTCTGTCACCAATCACCGAAAATCTACCTAAGCCATATCATCATTATTATAAAAGAAAACAGTAATCTTAGCTATAACACTCAATTGGACAATCAAATGGCCGTAAATGCCAACTCCTACTTGGCTATCTTATAACTAACACTAGCCTATCACCTACTTAGCAAGCACAAAGGAAGACAACAACGATAAATTATTTTCGTACCGAAAAAGAAAAAAATAATATTTTTGATGTCCAATTTCTTTCATTCATTCAATAAAAGAGAAGAAGATATATCAGTGCCACTTTTCTTCAAATGGAATGCTTTAACCATGAAAAAACTGATGAAAACAAAAGGGTATAAAATGCCCATACCATTTTTTTTTGTTTGGCAAGGAACTTGATAAATCAATCACTCCTGCAAAAGAAAAGGAATACCCATAAGCGTTGGCCTCCATAGAGTAAACAAATAAAGCACAATTGTCAATTTTGGTCAATCAATTAAATCCCAGAAAGTATAAGGACCATTGAAATTACAAAAGAAAAGGAAGGAATTGAATTGAAGTGAATAAACTTTAAATTTTAATATGAAATGTTAAAAAGAGAGTAGTGATCAAGGAACTCAACTGAAACGTACCTACTTGACTTCACCCAACTGACGGGATTGTGAGCTCTTCACGATTCTGATTTTGAGATCTCTCTTTGTAAATTGACGAATCTTCGAATGCTGTTTT